AACCATCAGCCTTTCCAATGGCTAGTTTTTTGGGGGGCTTAGAAATAGGGATGTGCTTAGCCCTTTAGGCACTCTTGCCCATTCTAACTGGCACACATAACGTAGAGGAGCTCAAAAACACTACCGACTAACTTGGTTGCTTGAGTTTTGATCTAGAGTGAGATTGGGAGAGAACTAGTGCATTTTCTTAGAGAGTTTGCATCTAGTGGCACTAATTCAATGTTGGAGCTATGGATTTCTTGTTAGTCTTAGTGATTGACTCCACCTAGATGGATTAGAGTAGTGGTGTATCATTGTGCACCTTGTTGGTGAATGTTTGGTGGCTCCGATCAAGCGATTGTGAGGGGTCTTGTGCTGACCCCCATGGGAGATTGCGAAGGACAACTCTAGTGGAATGCTCAAGGGTAGTTTGTAATACCCGAAAATACATGGTAAATATGAATTTTAATATGGATCAAGTGTTTTTAGCTAAGGTTGACCCAGTTTAAGGAGAGACCAAAAATTTGACTTTTTGATCCGTTGCTTGGATAGATGAACGGAGACCACCAATGCACAGAGCTCGTCGAATACTTGCCGATTGACTGTGAATGGTGGAGTTATGTTAATTTTTAGTTTTAAGAAGAAAAAATAAAATAAAAAACTCACGTACCTGATAGGGAGGAGTCGATCCTTTCCTCTCGTGTGTTTCCTCTCTCCCTGCCCGATGTTCTCTGCCGCACAGAAAAAAAGAGAAGAGGGATAAGGGAGAGGGAGGGAGGTTCTAGGGTTTGCCGCCGCCATCGTAGGCCACAGTGCAGTTCTTCCTTGGACCGTTGATTAGACATCATCTCCTCTATTCATTTTTGCCCTCAAATTTCTTGTTCCCTCGCTATTCATGATGGATACCATGTTCGCCATAGATCGGAACAGTGAGATGATCATAGTGGTGTAGATCGCCGTGAGGTGGAGAAGAGAAAGGAGGGAAGGAGTGGATCGTTGAGAAATTGTCATCTTTTTTTCTTTAGTTGACCTAGGTGAGATGCCAAATCCTAATCCCCTTCTTTGAGCATGAATCATCTAATTGGAAAGGGTTTAGTTGGAGTAATTCCCGAAATTGATCTCATTCACGTTCTGAATTTCTGTCAGACTGAGCGGTTTCAGTTCATCGACATTTTAGGGTATCTTCATGACCTTAACAAATTTTATCACTGTGGACAAAGTTGTAGAGGACTTCAATACCTTTCTTTTGACACCAGGATTGCTCTCATAGCCTCTAATTTTTTGGATATATGGTTTTTCTAAAAAGGCAGCTTTGCAGTGGCGAGAATCTGGATAGTTTCAGATCTATCCAATTATTGGCTCTCTTATAATGGATGAATTTGAACTTGTGATCTAAATGAAAGTTTTAGAGTTTTTCTTAATCGTTCCATATTATGATAGAACACATTTTTTGGATGAGTACATCTCTAGTTATGGATTTTATTAGATTGTTGTCCTGTTTTGGTCATCATAAAACTTCAGTTAAGTTAATATGATGTTTAGGCTATCTTGGAGATCTCATATGCTGAATCTTTATATACTAAAGTTGTAGATAATCAAGTTTTCTTTTATCTTCTAGATTTTCAAATTTTTTCAATGTATGGTTATTTGTCTATGACAAAGAGAAGGGACTGTGCTGCTGTCATGATTGGTAGCAAGTCGGTAGATGCTTAAATGGCGGGTTTGGGATGTTCTAGTGTGTTATTTGATGTTTGTACTTGTTTGTATGATGATGTTGGTACTGAGGTTGGCTTATGATCAGGTGGTTTGCCTTCGGATCATGCCTAACTCTTTTTCTTGATTGTCGGTAAAGGCAAGTAAACGTGGCGCTGTGGTCCACATGCTTTGGCTTTGTTGCTTGAATTGCCTCCACTAAATTTACAATATCTCACACTAGCCATATAATCTGAGATTTGAAGTTATTTGTTTTACTTTGAAGTATATTATTTCATATCTTGTGGTATTACTTTTGAATTATGAAGTGTATGAAGTGCATACATTGCAACATTTGCATTTGCACTTATTCCATTGATATGCATTTTGAAGAAATCATAGCCAAATTGGTGCGGTAAGTACGGGTACAGCAATGCACATTGATGAGCAATATGGTTGTAGCAACGCACGTTGATGAGCAATGTGGTTGCAGGCCTCACTCCTCGCCTTGGGACATATGGGTAGAAATGAAATCATGCATTGTATCATTTGCATTGCATTGCATCATTTGCATTGTATTGCATCATTTGTATTGCACTTGGAAGTATATTTATATTTCTATGAAGCAGTTGATGTCTCTATTATTATGCGATTTAATTTTGGTACTTAATCAAACTATGATTTAAATAACTTGGTCTTAGCAGTTTGCTTGCCGAGGTTTTCCATAAACCTCATACGCTTGTTTCCCCCATCTCAGGTACTTGAGCTTTGAGGATGCTTGGCGGGATGGGAGTAGCATGCACACATGTTGTACACCTCAAACAATCACATATATATTGTAACATGCTAGTTGATTGTAGAGTCATTTGTATGTTGCATCTGAGATTTATTGTTTAGGTTTGAGGATGCCTTTTCTTATGCTATCGTAGTAGACCTAATTTAATGCTTAATCTAGATGATATGTTTTTGCTTCTGTGTACTTTGTTGTTGTAGTGTAGTGTGGTAATTCTCTAGAGGATTGTTGTGTTTTCTTTCTGGGGTGTTAACATAGTTGGAGTGCTCTTGATTAAGTGGCTTGTTGCGGCACCCATGTTTAGGCTCTATACGGTGCAAAGGTAAGAAAAAACCAAATATGACTTAGCTTAGTATTCATGTGGGTTACAAGGACCATTTTGTTGGCTTTTATCCAATCTAACCCATTAACTTCACGCTATGATAAATGGCACAAAACTTATGTTCAAGCCCACAATATACCTTCTGTATGTAGTTGGCTTGAATTTCAATTCTTTTAGCTCCTTTGTATGGTTGCCATCAATTATTCAAAAGTGGGGACTGAAAGCATAGATGCCCCTATTTGGATTTTGGTAATTAATATAGCAACACCTGTGAAATAGCATCTATGTGAGACACGAAGGTAAAAGCTTAGTCCACATGAAGGTGCGGACAAGAAAAAAAAGGAACGAAAGCCTAACTAAGCACATGTAGCAAAGTCGAGACACCTAGGCTCGAAATGGACAACATAAGAAAATCAGTCCATGCTCATAATGGACCACATAATTGCAAGAAAAGTTTAACCACATATGAAAAATTGATTGGAGATTGACTCATCCTAAGTAGGTGGCTATTGTACATAGCTTTTGTGAGGTTGAGAAAGGTGAAAGAAAATCTATATGCTCTGGTTTTGTAGCTAAGGGGTGACAAAAGGAGATAGAGAGTGAGGAACGATAGACCAAAGGAGGTTTTTTCTCTCTTTAAGATTATATAGGAATGGATATAGATAGATATTTAAAATTGGATATGAGCCCAGCGATATCCGTCTTTATCTAAGTTGATTGATTGCATCCCTTGTAAACTTGTTGGGCTGCACAGTGGAGATGGGTTATGAGTTCTACAATGTTCACACCTAGAACCATAGCCTTTCATATTCTACATACGGGCCACTTTATTTAATCCTACATCTTGTTTAGGCAACTCTACTTTGGGCTTGATTTTGCACAACTCCATGACAAGGGATTTTCTTTTCTCTTGGTACAACCAAAAAAAAAGGTAGCTAGCACAATACCCAATATGGCCTTTGACAATTGAAACGCCATACATAGTCCCTCAGCAAAGCGAGCAATTGTCATAACTACTTCCTTAACACGTACACCTTTCTTCATTGCTTTATTGTTTGCTTCCAACAAGTAAGCCGATCAAAGGAGAAAAAATAACAATGGAAAAGTCAGACAGGAATCTCTATCTAACCAAGCTGTGTGTAGTGTACAGCACAACCTGGACACGTATATAGAGCTTTGCTCTGGAATCATCACTTGTGTCCACAAGCCACCACAAATGGTACATTGTTAGCCGCGACAGATGGATGGTATACATAGTTAATGAGGAATATTTTGACTGTTGAGCAGAAGCACCTGTATGTAAGCCGTCAGTCTTCTGTATGACTGCAAGTGATATCTTCTTGGCTTCTCTTTATATCTCCATTCATTCCCACTGTCCTTCTCTGCATGCAGTAGCAATTAAGCTGGTACCTGCAAGGTATATATGTCAATCCTGTAGAATTTGCTAATTGTTTCACTACTCTTTCATGTCTGCAATTTGTTTCTCCTCCTTTCAATCTGGTTTGTATCAGTCACTTCCTTTTCGAATACAATGGTTTGGCATAAATTTCGATTGTTCATTCATCCCAATTGTGTGACTCATGTCATGAAATTCTAATTGTCCGGTGGTTAACACTTTGAGCAGCATAATTTTCATTATTCTTCGTCTTATTTTCCTCCTGAAATTGCACCGGTATATGACTTCATAAAATGGTTTAGCTATGTATAAATTCATTTTAGCAGCTCTTCATCAACAAGAGATAAAATGCTTACAAAAAATATATTTTTTCTGTTATATGTATCTTTATGCAAATCAGAGACAAAATTCCATGGAATCTCTTTATCGCTTTCGTAATAAGAAGAAAAAGGCATGGCTACACTCCCAATAGGTCATTCCAGAAGTTTAAAAGATATACAAGTTAGCAAGTACCTTATTCTCTACCGTCCACAAACTGTGTAATTTGACCAAACTAGATTTGGACATGCACTATATATGTACGTCCTGCAGACAAACAGTCCATAGAACTTAGAATGTTCCGGATTTATTCTACTGCATAGTCTATATATATCCGAACAAGTCCCCATATGTGCATATATTAAGTAGTAGCAAGTCTGCAGGTTCTTGCAATTAAATTGACACTTGCAAGAACACGTACATGCAGGTTTTTGCTTTGCTAACATCGAGCAGTAGGTGAAAGAACCAGTGATTGCCTAACCAATTTGATCGTTGCGGAAATGGCACACGATCACAAGGTGCTCGACGCGCTGGACGCAGCAAAGACACAGTGGTACCACTTCACGGCGGTGGTGATAGCCGGCATGGGCTTCTTCACCGACGCCTACGACCTCTTCTCCATCTCGCTCGTCACCAAGCTCCTCGGCCGCATCTACTACTTCAACCCCAACTCCAAGACCCCCGGCTCCCTCCCGCCCAACGTCTCTGCCGCGGTCAACGGCGTGGCGTTCTGCGGTACGCTCGCCGGCCAGCTCTTCTTCGGCTGGCTGGGCGACAAGATGGGCCGCAAGAAGGTGTACAGCATGACGCTGATGCTCATGGTCGTCTGCTGCCTCGCGTCCGGCCTCTCGTTCGGGTCCACGCCCAAGGGCGTCATGGCCACGCTCTGCTTCTTCCGCTTCTGGCTCGGCTTCGGCATCGGCGGCGACTACCCGCTGTCCGCGACCATCATGTCCGAGTACGCCAACAAGCGGACGCGCGGCGCGTTCATCGCCGCCGTCTTCTCCATGCAGGGCTTCGGAAACCTCACCGGTGGCATCGTCGCCATCGTCGTCTCGGCGGCGTTCAAGGCTCGCTTCGACGCGCCGGCGTACAGCGACGACCCCGCCGGGTCCACGGTGCCGCAGGCCGACTACGCGTGGCGCATCGTCCTCATGTTCGGCGCCATCCCGGCGCTGCTCACCTACTACTGGCGCATGAAGATGCCCGAGACGGCGCGGTACACCGCGCTAGTCGCTAAGAACGCCAAGCAGGCGACGTCTGACATGGCGCGTGTGCTCAACGTCGAGCTCGCCGAGGAACAGCAGAAGGCGAAGGCGGAGAAAGCGCTCGAGCGGCGCCGCGAGGAGTACGGGCTCTTCTCCCGGCAGTTTGCCAAGCGGCACGGCCTGCACCTACTGGGCACGACGGTGTGCTGGTTCACACTGGACATCGCCTTCTACTCGCAGAACCTGTTCCAGAAGGACATCTACGCCGCCGTGAACTGGCTGCCCAGGGCGGACACCATGAACGCCCTAGAGGAGATGTTCAAGATCTCCCGCGCGCAGACGCTCGTCGCGCTGTGCGGCACCATCCCGGGCTACTGGTTCACCGTCTTCTTCATTGACATCATCGGCCGCTTCGCCATCCAGCTCGGCGGCTTCTTCTTCATGACGGCGTTCATGCTCGGCCTCGCCATCCCGTACCACCACTGGACCACGCCAGGGCACCACGTCGGTTTCGTCGTCATGTACGCGTTCACCTTCTTCTTCGCCAACTTCGGTCCAAACTCCACCACCTTCGTCGTGCCGGCAGAGATCTTCCCAGCAAGGCTGCGGTCCACCTGCCACGGCATCTCTTCAGCTGCAGGGAAGTCTGGCGCTATTGTCGGGTCATTCGGGTTCCTGTACGCGGCGCAGAGCACGGATCCCACGAAGACCGACGCAGGGTACCCGCCGGGCATCGGAGTGCGCAACTCGCTGTTCATGCTCGCCGGATGCAATGTCATCGGCTTCCTGTTCACGTTCCTTGTGCCGGAGTCCAAGGGGAAGTCGCTGGAGGAGCTCTCCGGCGAGAACAAGGACGAGGAGGCAGCAGCACCTGGCCAGAGTAACCAGCAGACCGTGCCGACAGATTTCAGTGAATAAACGACAAACAGTACAGCCCTAGAGCTTTGCTTCAGGACAACTATTATTATATTGAACTGGCATGTTTGTAAAAAGGAACGAGCACATTTCTGGTTACAAAAGCCGTGTTCACTGGTTGGTGCTGATTTTTTATGAGAGAAAAACACTATAGACGTTGAATAAATCTAACTAAAACCAACAAACGAACAGGTGAAAATGATGAGACCCGACAAACATAAGACGACTACATTCTCATCTTATGCTTCGGTGCACAGTACACAGCGGTTTCCTTATGCTACGAAACCACATTCTACCATTTCGTTTGCATTACCAAGGAACCGACAATGGCCGCAGGGGTAAAAGAATCAAGGTGAACGGACTACAACTTGCAAGTCTCACCGCAAATCAAGCAACAAAAACAGAGATGATAAGGGATTAATGGTGATAGCAAATATCGCAGATTGCCCAAGTAAATGGAATGTCATTGAATAAATTTTAAATCCCAAATCTAGGTTTGAACAAAACAAGGATTAAACTCCAGGGTCTACAGCCATTGGCTTCAGGTAAGTGCCATGTACCACCTATAGTATAAATTCCCACATGTATGTTGATGATGGGAAGGTGACCAGTTGCTAGTCTTGGGAGGGTGTGGTTAAATGACAACCACTTGCCCTGGTGCTGCTACCTGCTTTTTTCCTAAGGAGGAAAAAGGCAGCCATATCTTAGGTGTCCAGTGCTGTTTTCTTGCAGATTGGGCACAGATTTTTTATAACCAGCCATTGTTTGATGCATGCGGTGTGAAAGTCATGACCACAATCCAGTCTGCCCAAGTCCTCGCCTTCCACATAGTCTTCCTGCAATGTTCAAGGTCCAACAATGTTCAGTAATGCCAATGAACTACCACTGATATGTGGAATTAAATGAGTAGAATCAATAATAATACTGAGCCAAAACAATAAACCCGTTCTAAGCAAGAGCAGCAAATAAAACAAGAGATGCTCCCCAAAACAATTATTATATTTACGCCTGAACTTTGACGAGAGCATTGGAGCCACAGACAATTAAAAGACACGATGCAACATGCAACCACACATCATCCCAGTAACAATTAAAAAGACAAGCTTCGCTTGTTGGTTTCAGCCAGGGCTTATCAGCCAGCCAACAGTGTTTTCCTCTCACAACAAACCAGCACCAGACGGGCTTATCAGCCCAGAAACCAACCAGCGAACAGGCTGTTTTCACAGTACTTGGACATCCACTACACCACAATCTTACATCATACCTTACTAGAACCACCAGTTAAAATAATGCAATGGATGAATCATTATGTCAGAATATAGTATCTGATCTCTAAAATAAATTCCTATCAAACAAATCTATGCAAGCAATTTAAGAGAACACGAAGTTCTCAAATTACCTGGCAAATACAGCATGGTTCAACACCTGTTGGAGGATCTTCCAATGATATTAAGGCATATTTCCATTGTTTCATGTTACTCATAATCTTTTCTTCAGTAACTCCTGTGTTTACGTACCCAATGCGTTCACCTAGTGCCAGCAATTCCTGGGAAACAGAAAATTGAAGTAGCCAAACACAAATCCAGTCACACCATGTGTGATGCCACAGGAACCACAGTTTTAAAACTCAAATCCAGTACCAATTATATACTTCCTACTACAAGCAAAAATTCAGTTCTGAACACGAAGTTAAGGCAGTTTAAACCACATCATACAATTTAATCTGACTCCATGCTGAAACAACATTTTGAAGATATATGGTACGAGATATCTTCTTCACTGGAAAAATGACTTAATTCAAACAAAATTAGTAGCCAAATATGCCAGGATTTAAAATATCCTCCCCCCAACGTCCCCACAGACTACGATTTAAGGTTCTGGGACAAAATTATGATCAAGAGAAATGGTGATACCTCATAGGACATATTATCCACATCAAGCCTCATCTCCCGATGTCTATCAATCAAATTAGCTCGCCTCATAATAAGCGACCGATCAATGAGAAGCAAATCCTGTACAAAAATAATACTGTTAATTAACATGGTACATCACAAATCAATCACAATGGTACATCTATTTGAAAACAGATCAATTTGTACCATCACTGTCTAGATAATACTTTATTTACTCCAATCTATAAACATGCTGATATAAGAGCTAGATAATAAATTATTGTTATATCCTGGAAATAGTTCTGACAAAATTATTAAGCATTGGATATATTACATCATTGGAGTGCTACGGATGTAAACATAACAAAACTAGCACAAACAGTTTGACCTCAAGTTGCAGAAACTGGAACATGTGGCAGTAAAGGGCAAGGAAAATGCATAGCACAAAGTTCTATAAAGAAAGCTTTTAGTACAGACTTTCTTTCTCATTGGTAAAATAAATTGGATCTTTGAATCTTATTACCTGGCACCATATATGCACTGATAAATGTTTGCAATTTACTGCCAACATTGTTAATTGTAGCCAAATAACTAGCGACCTATTGTACAGAAAGTTGCACACTAATCTATCTTATTGGATTAAGTAGTTGAGGAAGTTTCCATGCAACATTTTATGGAAAAACAGCCCAGAATAGCTGCTTAACAACGATCTCTAATTTCTCTTTTGACAGTCAGTAATATAGAACACGCTATTACTCGTCTATGTATCCATTCCACTCTGATTCATCCAGGGAAGTAGTAGTACATGCAGTGTTGCAGACGTGGGTGCATTCAATGGCCAATGCACACCTCCCACACCACATGAGGCTAGGCCTCCAAATGTTCCCAAAGGTGTACTAGCGTATGAGCATGAGTGGTGTGCGTGTGCTGTGTGTAAACAATATATCATCACATTCAGAGGAGTTCAACCCTCTAATAGACTAATTTCAGGTGATTCAGTCATGTATGCAAAGGACACAGAATGTTACACCTGGCGCGCTATAACAATATGCAAAACAGAAGTAAATCTGACCTCCAATCGTGCATTTCTCCCCTGACGAATCTGATCGAAAACATTGCGGATCTGTGTGCGAAAACAGGAAACATTCAAATTCAAAATATGGCAGGTAAAGCTAGTAGCACATTAATAAAAAACAACAACTATTAAAACCCATTAAATCACAGATATTTAAGACCAAATGTGATGTCCAGTGCTAATTTAGGGAGCAGATCATTGGTTGCCATAGTGGACACAACTAGTATGGGTATTAATGAAAATAATGAATACACTGTTATGGAGCATGATATGATACCAACAAATGTTAATTTCAACACTGGCATTGGGAATTGCATGAAAATGTGTTCAAAGAAGCATATATAGCCAACAAAAATGGCATTCAGCAGTGTACATCAACATAAAAGCATTCAACTTGGATGAAATCAGCTGGAGCACTTTCATGGCATGATAACATCTCAATCAGTAGAAAACTTGGATGAAATCAACTGGAGCTTTTTCATGGCCGAAATATGAAAAGAATTAAATATCTCCAATCATTTCCACAGGACATGATGATGATATAACATAATGAAATTATCATAAGTACTAATGAAGCCATCAGTTCAATGAAATGATTCAAGGGTAGTTACCTCTGACATTGGCCTGCCTCCTTCCCTTGAAGCTATGGTCTGCATAAAAGACTGAAGGTCCAAGTAACCAGAGCTCTGCCTGTCTATGGAGGAATGACCAGGCCTTAAGGACTGCTGCTGATGGGCACGAGAGCTTGAACCTGGCTGATGACTCCTAATCTCTTGTGATGTGGATGAAGTTCCACGGTGCTGCAATGCGATGCTTGAAGTTCTAGAATGAGAAACACCAGCAGAAATTAAGGACCTCCTGGACACATCAGATGAACCTCTTAAAGTTGTACTTGGCTGAGATACATTGAACCCAGGGACTTGTTGAGCTCCAACATTAACAACAGGTCTAAGCATGGAACTAGAGCTGGATCCAGAATTTTGCTCATTACTTCTGCTTCCAGATGCAGATAATAAATTTGTTGAATCAGCTGTAAACAAAGAAGAACCTAACAAAAGGGGCTCAGGATAATCGCTTCCCAACAAGCTTGTACTGGGATCTTGTGAAGCAGGTATCGGTATTGTAGAACCAGAAGAAGTGGAAGAATTCCCAATTCTTGATCCAAAACTAACATTTGATGAGGGACGGTGAAGATTTTGTGAAAATTGAGTAACAGCAGGCACATGAGGTCGACTATGAGACCCAGAAGAAGAGCTCACTTGTCTAGGTTGCACTGGAATAAATGATGACTGCTGCTGTGTAGACTGATAAGCTGAGCACCTGAAACTCCCCTCAGGTAATAGACTGGGCAGCGATTGATCATAATCGCTAGTGTTTATTCGCATCCGTGTATTTCGCACGAATTCATTTGCATTTGGATCACCATATGAAGAATAGTGATCAGACAAAGTAGAGCTTGCAGCAATATTAGTACTCTGGTTTAGCTGTTCCACAGGAGGATATGGAACACTAAAATTTGTTGCGGTGGGCATAGCCAAACTTTCACGGGTGGTCGGTGGAGGTAGCAGAGTACTATTATTCTGGTGACGATTGCGTGAGCTACCATTTGCAGAAGACTCTGCATGACATCCATCAAGATACTTTCTCTTAAAGGCTGGATGATGACTGTCTTGGCCTGCTGCACCATCAAAACTTTCTGCATTCCGTGAAGAACTTCCTATAGCATCCGAAGAAACTCCATGATGCAGAATACGCTCAGTTATGAAAGAGCCCCTGTGGGCTGTGACAGTATTTGCTCTTGATTGTCCATTACCATGTACAAGATCAACATCATCAGAGCCAAATTGATCAGCCTGATTAATGTTGAGGTCTATGTTTAGGTTGTGTGAAGGCAATGAACTAGTGCCTTCATGCCTCCTCCTGTCTATACTTAAGGGGCCTCCAATAGACAGAGAAGAGGCAAGATGCTCCCTTTTTGCCTGGAAAAAGTTGCCATGATCAACTAAGCAGCCCATTGAGCTAGATCCAGCTGGTTCCCACAAGCTCAAGCTTGTATTTTGCTGACCAATCAGGCTTCCACTTGGCATTCCCACCTCATGACTATTGAGCAAATAGTGTGGGTAGTCCTCATGCTCTAATGCATTTGGGAGTAAAATCTGTTCATCCACGTTAGAGTTGTTGGGAAGTAAATTCTGCTGATCCATGACAGGGTTGCTAGAACTAGAACCAAGCTGGCAAGTCTCTGAGGAAGACAGCATGGTGATCCTATTATGTTGCATCAAGGATTTAGTGTATCCCTTGGCAGTCAATTGATTTCAATAAAAACAAGTCATGACCCAAAAATGGCAATGTTTTACAACACCAAGTATGTCACCCTGGCAAATACGACAAAAGCAACCTGGCAAATACGACAAAAGGATAGATTTGGTAAGTAGAAAGCATTGCAATTCACCATATATCAAAATAAGCAAAAGCAAACTGAAATAAATTAAGTCCGAACTTAACAGCTGCATCATTGGGGAATCCTTAAAACATTAAGATGGAATATTAAGCAAACATCAGAGCACACGTAATCAGAGTTACGTTTGCAGTTTATACTCAAACAGAAATAATAATGCGGGATGTCAGAGAAATAATGTAGGCAGCCAATGATATACATACCTTAAGTACAACAACAATACATTATTAGACAACCGGCGGAAACCGCTGGAATCTGTGGCGGCCAACTGAAGAATACTAAAAACTGCTTCCGTATATTCTGGCAAATAAAAACATCGCAAGTCAAATACCTTTTTTCAGAAACAACATAAATAGAGAATATCACAACCTATAACGTCTGAAAGCAGCATAATATGCAAATGACTACCCAAAAGAATAGGGTTAGCAGCTTTAACACCAAACAGTGTGTTCTGCACGAACGTACAGATCATTTGATAAGTATCTAACCCTATTGCAGAGAAGTACTGTTAAACAGGTTGTTCACTGATGGGAAATTTCTCAAGCCAATGGCTATTGACTTCGTGGCGGACTAAACGTTTGCACGAAATATGAGCGACGATAATGCTGCCGAATTCCAATCCATGCAAGTACTCCAGCTCTGCACATCCATTTGACGATAAAACTCTCATTTCTACTCCATTACGCCCAGGATAAGTGACGTTTTCACCACGAAATCGTAATCCTAACCGCAAATGAGCTCGAATCGACGAAATTCCCGTCCGAGAGTCGAGGAGTTCCGCAGGAAAAACACCACCAGATCCGCCCCCCCCAAAAATCCCCCACAGATCTCAGCCGCCACGCCCCAGCACGGCCCCATCCACCCTCATCCCCCGGACCTCCGGCCCACGAGCTCAACCCTATCCACCCACCGGCCGACCTACCCGACGCCAGGCAACAGGAAGAAAAAGCCAGGACCAGGAGGAAGAAGGCGAGAAGCGTACGGAAGCAGCGCCGCCCGGGCCTCGATCGGCGTCCCCCGCGAGCAGTCGGCCCCGATCGGCGTCGATCGGGGGCGAGGAAGGAAGGGGGCAGCACGGCGCCGCTTGCTGCTTTGTCCCCTTCCGACCGCGTCCGGCGTGCTCGAATGTATCGAGGAGGAGAGAAGGGAGGTGGAGACGAGGAAGAAAATGAGAGGGGGTTGCGGCGTTTTTTAGACAGGGGTGGGTGGGTGGTCGGAAGGGAGGAAAGTGGGCGACGCAGGACGCAGCGGAACCCACGAAAAGAAAAGAGAGATAATCGACGCGGGCGGGTCCTGACCGTTGGATGCGCCGCATCCACGGGTGTGGCTGCCTGGATGGAGGAGGGTGAAAACGTCCGTCCGTCTCTGCGCTGCCCTCTCGCAAGGCGTGATTTAAAACTGCCTGTCATAAATGTCTGTTGGTGCTGGCGCTGGCCACTGGATTTTGGGGTCTTCTCTAGGTGCCCGCAATTTATTAGGGACAGAGGTAGATGTCATTCTTTATATATAAAGAAAATCCGGTCGATGATAGTTGGATTTGGACTTGGTCATCACGGCGGGTAGCCCAGCCCAGCCCATTTATGCTTGGCCTTAGAGTCCTAGACTCCTAATAAGTTGCACATTTTATCTATTTTATCTTATATAAGATTGCAAGTGAAACTCCACTAGACAAGTGTATTCTCTTTAGCTTATTACATAAAAAATTAATTGGGGAGAAGTTTGCATGTTCTAGGGATTTATATAACAAGTTGGGAGGCGTTTATGAGCAATTCATACTTATATATAATATATAAATATAATATAATAAGGAGACGTTTCCGAGTTTGAGGGACTTAAATAATGAGCAGGAAAATGTTTTGAGTTTTATGGACTTATATAATAAGTTGGAAGATGATTCGCTAGCTCTTAAATTTAACATTAATATTATCCTGCTTTTAATAGAGGCCGAAACAAAAGGATGGAACTTTGGCAGTGCTTCAATACCCAAGAAGTCGAAACATAAAACCCTCGTGAAATTTAGTGGTCACTGGACATGGCAACACCTATAAAGAGTAAATTGTTGTTGTAACAATACTAATGTAATTTTAGGAATGGTAGCTGAATTTACAGCGAAGGCTAAAAACAAAAATATGCCCACTACCACTAGCAACAATTCATATATTTAATTCACAATACAAAAATTTAGAAATAGCACGACACACTTCGATCAATAGTAATGCATATCATAACCAATGAAAAAAAATTGAACATCCATCCTCCTTAACAGGGCTTCATATTAGTTTGTGTTAATTGCATTTATACAAATTTTATCGTATTTTGAATCCTTGATAAAATATGATCAATTATCAAGGAACAAACATGCGAACAAATATTTTCTTTATCACTGAGTTTCCTTGAATTGGTTGGAAGGCCATGCCCAACAAGGTCTAACAAGAAGAACATAAGAAGGGCATCAAAGTCACAAACTTCACTACTTTTGCATTGATCAAATAATATTAATGTTATGCTATTATATTGTGTCATGCACATTAAATCAAATTAGTTCCATATAAGATTCTTTTGCGACATAGCATATTGTATATTCATGGAGATACATTGAAAACTCAACCATATGAAGTGCCCACAATTCATAGCACAAGCATATGTAATCAATAATAATGATCTTTTAGGACCTAAGAAACATAATATGGTGGTTGTATCTTATATTGTTTTCATTTTACATGGCAACTTTGAACAGGATGATAAGATATATACGATTCAGAGTAGCCTAAGTAAGTTCTTTTGAAACACTAGGATCATCGTGTGCATTGCAATGGCAACAAAATAATGACACGATAATTAAGTCTGACCGTTGGCACGAGCTTCATTCTAAGTGAGGAAAAACTTGTCACGACCCAATAGTCATTCCAACTTAAACTTTTTCAAAAACGCCCCTTGAAGCCCAAGACTCTCACCAATCCCTTCCTATACTCTGACCCAAGCCCTCAATACGTCTCATCTCATGGTTGAATCGTGAATTCTCTTCATCAGGGCACTGGGCTATATGTAAGGATCGAGGATGTCGCCTAGAGGGTGGTGAATAGTCGTTTCTAAAAATTAACACCTTAAAATGCGGAAACGATTAGGGAGGGAGCTTCCAATTACTTGAAAGCTCCAAATTAGAGAATTACACCCCTCAAGAGTAAACCACAGAGTATATAACGAGTACTAAATAAATCTAGGAGCCACCACCCTACAACACACAGACTAGAGAGAGGAACAAATAAAATCAGCATAGGGGGGGCAATACCGATCCGGTATTCACGGTTTCTACAGAACAGCCCCAAACTTGCTCCTTTCGATTTCAATCTTCAATCCAAGTTGTAGGTACCTACTAGGGTCAATATGATACACAGAGAACCTACACACTTGCACAAATACCACAAGTAGATCACAAATATCAAATGAGAGAGAATTGGGACATGATATTTATTTTACCGAAGTTCGGACTCTGTCGAGTCCGATTCTCTGTTGAGGGAGCTACGAGCGACCCAGCAAAGGTCAGCTCTAGAGGACCCACGAAGGTCAACTCTAGCCAGAGTATTTTCTAACCCCTTTTCCTCCTTCCACTAGTTGATCCCTTTCCTTGCGATGGTGGAATCGACCGTTACGAACTTTCCGAGGTACACCACAGTCTCTCGGGTGCTCTCCGGCGACGCCTTTCCATCTAGGACCAAAGAGCCCAAGAGTAACAAATGTGAATCATGAAATAGACAATATACATAAGTACTCAAGTGGTGGCTTGCACTCAATTTTGAATTTCTCTCAACCCATAAATGGATTTGGCAAATTGGATCACACACTCACTAAGAGAGGGTTGGAGAGTGTTCTCAAGGCTCAAAAATGTGTATAGCAACCAACAGAATCAGCAGCCTCCAAAGGTTGAGGCTTAGGGGAATTTATAGCCCCCTCTCAAAAACTAGCCATTAGTCCGGTATGAATATCGGACATGTCCGGTATTACCAGCACAGCACCAAAGGTTAGAAGGTTAAAGGCGTGCGAGGTGACGGGACTCCTGAGGCTTGCCGGGACTTTTGACTCCGGGAACTACTGACCCTTACTGGAACTTTCGACAAACTAAACTTGAGAGCACAGAAAAGGTTGTTGTGACCAACCCCATACCGTACACGGACACGTCCGGTATGCTCGGCCACAGCAAGGTGAGTTAGCTCTTATGACTCTCTTAGTCAAACCTCACATAGGTTGGCTTGACCACTTATGAATAATCATCTATCAATATGATGCATCCCTCTTAATAGTACGACATACCTATTTACTCAAGGTTAAATGAAAATGAAATATAAACCTCTTGAGTTGATTTCCTTCAAAGCCAAATGCCATAGCTCTCAATCTTCATCAAGTGAGGGTGTCAACATGTCAACTTTGATTTTCTTCTTGAGCGTAGCCATCTTGAGTATATGACTTGATTCCATTCAATAGATGAGAATTAACTTCAAATGTATCAAGTCACTTCCAATAATTTATCCAATATATATTTGATCCTCCACCTCAATGTGACCATCATAGTTTGATTGGTACCTCAACTAAATGCAAGTACTTTCTTCTTCACCCTAGCTAGGTTCCTCGATCGCCAAGCCGTCGCTTGCCCTTCACCCTTACTTAATACCTCGAAGCCTTTCCTTGCTATCTTCACCATCTCAAGCCATCAAGTCACCTGCCCATCACATTCGATAGCCGGACCAACTTCCGCTCGGAGGTCCTCACCTTCGAAGTAGTGGACTTTGTAGGGTCCTACCACGC